TATGTGAACCTAGTATCACATATGAGTTGTTTACCTGGCTTACGAGTGTTGACGTGAACCTACTAGTATCATATGTAAAATGTTTACCTGGCTTACAAGTGTTGATGTGTACCTGCTTATATCATATATAAGTTGTTTACCTGGCTTACAAGTGTTGACGTGAACCTGCTCGTATCGTAGACATATCCGTTGCATTTCCTTATACTGATGTTGCCATTAGGGGTCCAGTTAGTCACATCATCGTCTGTGATACTGGAGTAGTTGAGATCATAGACCCTGCATTGACTGTACACGGCTTCCCCAAACTGGTTTTCCTCGAGGGGAACAGCTATGTTCATAAATGTTGTGTGGTTGAGATGGGCTAACTCTGGCACATGACACCAATGTTGCATATCAGCGGCGATGAATACTGTAATATTATACTGCCAGCTATTTGCAGCATAGAATAATAAAAATGAGATTATGGAAACTTTCTGATATCGTCCGAATCCTCCTAATTCTGGTAACAGGTCATCAAACCCCATTTTTAATTAAAGCGCTCACTAGAATCCAAGCCGTCGATGCACCTGCTAGTTAAGTGCCATTGACTCATGTGTTTTGAAAAGTATCCTTTCCTAATTCACTGGTGATCCACTCGATTACGCTGGTTACCAAAACGGTTCGTTTTGGTAACAAAATGTCGGAACGTCGAAGGTACGATTTTTCATTTTTCCTTATTTCACGCGTTGTAGGCAGGATCCCCACGACGTTTTTTTTCACACAAACGTGTATCAGTATCATATGTTTTAGAAAATGTACGTTTGCGAAAAAACAGCTCAGAAGACAACAGAATCGTCGATTAAATTCCTCACTTAAGTTACATAAAATAAACGGTTTGGGTTAAAAGTGCAGATCTTATGTTTTTCGAAAAACCGTTTATGTAACTTGAGGAGGAGTGAGTGAGGAATTAAATCGACGATTCTGTTGTCTTCTGAACTTATTTGTTCGCAAAAATGTTCATTTGATCCTGATACACGTTTTGTGATAAAAATGTGGAGGGAATTCTGCATACAACGTGTGAAATAAGCAAAAAAGAAAAATCATACCTTCGATGTTCCGACATTTTGTTACCAAAACGAACCGTTTCGGTAACCAGCGTAATCGAGTGGATCACCAGTGTAATTGCTAGGTTTTAATGGTGTGAAAGACCCGTGGTATCCATTTGCACAATGCGTATAGAAATCCACTTTCCTGTGGGTAGTTCTCTAATTGCAATGAATAATCAAATCACCTATAGTCGTATTCCGCATATCCATTCAGCAATAATAGATGATGATAAAGTTTCTGCTGTAGCCAGGATTTCTCAAGTGGAGTTTTTTCCTTTTTTATTTTTCCTAAATCTCCATCATGTGCATATTTGGACCGTAGAAATCAACAGGTCGTAACCAGGCCGCAGAAAGACTCCGCGGTGGCCGCACGTCGGGCTTACGGTCAACTTGCGTCTGCCGTAGGGCATTTGTCGTACGAAGGCCGAACGTCGACTGCAGATCAATTAAATTAGTGAATTTCTGCGGCGAGCGTAGAAAAAACTACGGAGGCCTTGCGGTCTCCGTACGGCGTATTCAGTTTTCACAGACCACAGGGAGCTGTAGAATTGTATAATATTTGTTCATTTCTGCGGTCCCCGTAGAAATCAATAGGCCGTGGCCAGACCACAGAATATGTATATTTGAAAGTTACAGAGGTATCAGAACGTTTATGATAATAAGGTTGCCATGGCCATATGTAGACGGCTCATCTTCCAAGGGATATTCTATTATATCTATAGGACATCCCAATGATAAGCGAAGACATTGCTTTGTTCTCCAATTAGAAACATTTTTTTGCATTTCTATAACTTGTTTAAAGAACAGGTCCATTTAACAGACTATTGGTCCACTTAATCTTTTTCCAAATAACTCATTCTTTCATTTACTTTTTAAACCGATTGCAAGTTGTAGATAAACCTTTTTTTTGAGATGTGCAATTTCAAAAGTGGCATTAGTTTTCAGTTTCTTTGAAAAATTGGCAGTAAGAACCCCTTTTACAAGGCTCTCTGGATATGGGTACACACTATGTTTCCCATCAAAATAATATCAAAACTTATCATTACATAGAATTTATTATGTGTAACATTTGTCCAAGCATTTGGAAAAACCTAACTATGTATGAAGATTGCCAATGCAAATCTGGAAAACATTGTCATTTTTTGTTCACTTTGTTATCAAGTTTTAGCATGGTGCTCATTTCGTTTTGTTGAAAATTTAACCATCAGCCCATTCTCCCACAAAAAATATATTGAAACTGTATAATGCAGAGACTGTAAAGTAGCTTCTCTGCAAATATCATTGTTGCTGGAGTGTGGGCTCACCACTAAAACTTAACTTTTGTGATAAAAATAAGGCTGACTAGTTTATGTTTTCAATATGGCTGCTAACCTGGGCATACATGTACACTACATAATTGCATGTACAGATTAGGCCATTTAAAATTAATCTTATGTTGGTATTCTGATGAAGGGCCTTACATTAAAAACTACAAACCCTTTATTTATTTAAAGGGTTTTATATATTATTTAATAGTGAAAATGCAATAACACATTGTGGCAAAGCAAGTAACACCTCTTGATTCAGATGACCTTGTTAATGAAGACAATACTAAAGCTTATATACATGTAGTTTTTAATCAATCTTGGAACTCATTTCAATACAATATAATTCAAGATCACAATTCCCTCTGTCATCTATATGTCATTATACAAGTACAGAGTACATGAGAACATTTTTTTCTGAAAACATTGAATTTAGTGACATTTAATTATAAAAAATCTTTGAATGGCCTAAGTGTTTTTCTAAATAGGGAATAAGTAGAAATTGTTTTAGGCAATCTTTTGAGTGTCATGCCTTTTATACATGATGCTGCCTTATATTTTATGATACATATTGAAATTCAAATATGGGAACTGCAAATTGGCAAATAACTTTAAAACTAAGTCTCCATACAGACATTTAATTTCAAATTCCAATGCAAATGCCAATGGGCATTTATTAAAAGTGACCCTATAACTATTTAGAATATGGGCAACATGTTTAGAAAACTGGCGAGAAGCAATTGAAATAAAAAAAAATCCATTCTCATGGAAGTGCCCTTGTGTGCATTTAATTGCAGCCATATTATCCTAATTGCCCATGGGCATTAAAAAAAATAATCACATCCCAACTATTAAAACATGCTTATATTAGGATACTGTTGGAGTCTCAAAAGGCAACAAGAACCTTCGTTTTTGAAACAGGAAAATTTAGTCCCCCCCCCCAAATGCCCGTATGGGGATTTGTTCTCAAGATTTTCATGTAATTGCCCGTGAGAATCTATTAAAAATATTTTTATTTCCATTCACATGTCTTATTATCAGTCACAATCAAAATTAAGTCAATTGCTTGAATCATTTCTTGTATTAGAAAACGGCAAAATGTTGACAAAAATAGCATCTCTCAAAGTTGACTTTAAAACACCCTAATGTCAAGGTCAAATGTCGAAATTCTCAGAAATCACATTTTAAGTAATAAGTCATACTTCCATGTCATATACACTTGTTTTGTAGGGGGGCTAAAAGAGGAGTTTACCGCCACCTGTCCTTTGAATTTTATTAGTTTGCACGACACAGTAATTGGAATATACAAATAGATCTTACTTGGATAAGCTGAAATCGATGTTGAACGTTTTCTCCAGCAACTAGGATGATACTAATTCCAGCTGTTGACCAGTGATTTTAATGAGGCGTATTGGGCGAAAATTAAAGGGTTTTCTTCCTGTTATGAATTGACCGATGAGACCTGGCTGGTGTAAATATGTTATTTAAGGAATGACACCATAATTTCAGTTCTTATTAAATGATGGTCTTTTTTGTAACATGACGACAGTGATCCGAAACGAATGAATAATGGAAAGGGAGCTAATAATAGAGATTATCCTATATGAGGTTCAGGATATTGGGATTATCCCGAGGCGAATATAATGTAACTGCCCGAGGGCTGTAGGTCCCGAGGGTAGATATATTATATTGGCCAAGGAATAATCCTAATATCCTGAACCGAGGGTAGGATGATCTGTTTATCACATACCAATCTTGTTATCGTATCCTACCGACCACTTTAGATTGTGGTCGTACGCCCGTATCATTGGTAAGCCTGTATTTCTACAATGTCGGAGAATGAACTACGCATTGCACTATTAAATGACCTACCTCGATACATTCCAGAGTATTTTAGAATACTTTTTATGTTGTTAGATCGCCAATTGTATGGGTTTGTCGGCAGAACGAAGAGATTTTAGTTTTTACATCGGAAATATGTCAGCAATTTTCAAAATGTCGGAAGGGGAATTCCCAAGGGATTTCCCTTATGACTGGTGCATGCCGGGAACTGAATGGAGGAATTTGACGGTTGAAATAAGTTAAATATTACACGCAAATATTGCTATCAAAAACGAAAATATCTTCGTGGATTTGAGAAATTATTGGCATAGATGAAACTATTTAAAACATAATTTACACTCCCTCCATAATGTTTAGCAACCTTAGCTCCCCCATTGAACTGCGTGTTAAAGCCTCTTTACCTTTGAATTTTTATTTTCTTAACCTGCGTTGAAAATACTTATACTATTGATGGAAACGTAATTGACTTCATTTCCAATACCTCCGAATTTTCTCAAGTTTTTCCTTAATTACAATACGTCGAAAATTGATGATAAATTTAATGGATTTTTGAAAATCCTCCGATTCATTTATATTCTACAAAAAAAATTGTAAATACTTGCATAGTTCAAATTCAAAATTCAAACCAAATTGTCTTCTCCATTAGTATTTTGTGAGAAAAAATGGAGGTATCGGAAATGATGCCAATTTATATTGGCATCATTTCTATTGGAACTAGAATGAATGGAGGAAGGATTTAAAAAAAAACATGAAAATTAGTACACCTGGTCACCAAATTCTGGCTACGCCAGTGGCACTGACTTTTATTTGTTAAAACCTTAAATATTCGCTTTAAATTCTCTTTTATTGCTTTTAGAAAATGCATAATCTCACTTGCTGTTATTTAAATAATATCAATGACTGCTAATACACAGATTACATAATTAATCCCGTGATAACGTTAGATATTTCTAAATAGTTTCATTGCGTCACTCTTCAGAAATGGAGGTGATTGATCATCTTATCTATTTGGTCCAGTATACTTCTATAAGATGGTTTTTATTGACAATGGACAACACCAGTAGAGTACTAGAGTTCCATATAACGATCTCGAATGAATATGGACATCACAGGCAGAGTGTGGACGCCAGCATCTCAGCAACCATAAACAATATAGCAGTTTTCTCTTATCACTGTTTCTAACGATTATCAGGCCAACATCAGCAGTATTCCTTACCGAGGACACAAACGATCATTGTCAACATCAGCAGTTTCCCATACCACAGTCTTCAGCCTTCGTGGTCAATCAACAGATAGATCAGTTAGGTTCTATACGACAATCGCCAATGATAATACAGTCATTGTTAGCACCCTAGTTAGGTTTGTTCTTAATGCTGCAAAATTAAACCCAACATTTTAGAACATAAAGCTCGAAGATGGTATGGCTAAAAATAAATAAACCACTTAGTGATGATGGATTTCGACTTGAACACCGAATATCAACCAATAATTTATCAGATATCTTGGTTTAAGTTAAACTGTTTATTTTAAGTATTCCTTGCTCCAGTATTTTGATCATTTCTCGTGCACTACACCGCTCGCCTCATAGAACTCCCAAGTGCAATGAAGGGAATAACTCGTTAACAGTTTTAGTTTCACTAATAGATGGCATTTCGAAATATTAGCGTAAGATCTGACATGAAAAATATGCAATCCTTTATATGTGTAGGCCCTATATAGATTTGCTTATTTTCGTCATTACAAATATATCCCAGAATAAAAACAACTTACTTTTACCCCTGCTTTGTCCAAAAAGCTGAAAATACAACACAGTTTTTAGTATTGTTGAAATAGATGCTAAAGTATCTAATTAAGATAGGTAAGGTGAAATGATACAGGTTTAATAAGTTATTGGAGTCTTCAAATGTTAACAGGATCTTAAGAGGTTCTGGACAAATCATTTGATTCTGGACTTGACATATTTTTTTTCCAACGAAATCACATCCAAGGGTTGACTTTTTATTGGATATTTAGAGAGCGAGTCCTGTATTGATTTCAATAAAAAGGTTAAAATAGAACGCTATTTGAGAGTTAATCTTATACTTTCATTACATTGATAAATTAAGGCAAATTCTGAAAAATTTTAAAGTGCATTTTTTATGAAATATTATCCAAGTATTTAGATGAAACGGTCTTATTTAAATACAAATCATAACATGATGATATTTTTTCATAAAATATTTCTTCAAGAAATTCAATTGAAGGCTCAAGATAAAACGAGCTAATTTAGGTGAAAACCCTTACATGATGATGTGTTTTCATGACTTCTTTCATAAAATTCCATCAAGGGGTGAAAATAAAATGATCGAATTTAAGTGATTTAAGGATCACGAGGATAGGTTTTCTTGGATATTTTCTATGAAATCCCATCCAGTGGTCAAGGTAAAATTTTTATTTGGTATATTTGGTCACGTGTTCGAACCCATAGAACCATATAGGAACGTCATTTTGAATGTTACGTGATAAATCCATATAAGGCTTTTAGAACAATGTGGGGAAAGATGAGGGGAAACCCCTGACACCTGTTCACGATTTTATCCGAACGTTCATCGGATCATTCCGGTTTTTATGCACTTCATTATTTTACCGAAGTTTGCCGATTCGATTCGTCGTATTTCGGAATATTGGGGACAATTTTATACTCCATTGGGAGTATTTTTAATCTACTTCTTATTACGAAGATTCCCGAACCTTGTTCGGATTAATCCGGATTTTCTGACCTACTTCATCTACCGAGATTTAACGAGTTTACATTCGGCTCATTTCGGAATCCTGGTGACAATTTTATACTCCATTGGAGTATTTTTGATCTACTTCTCTGGATTTTTGATCTTCTTCTTATGACGAAGATTCCCGAATCAGTTCGGATTAATCCGGATTTTCTGACCTACTTTATCTACCGAGATTTAACGAGTTAACATTCGTCTCATTTCGGAATCCTGGTGACAATTTTATACTCCATTGGAGTATTTTTGATCTACTTTTTCTGGATTTTGCCCTACTTATTATAAGTTGACAGCAAGCAAATCAAAAAGTTCGCCATGAACGGGTTCCGATCGACTAACCTAGAGAGTGGAAGCTAAACACGCTAGCCATGAGGCTAACGTTCACCTGTGTGAGATGATAAAAGTATCATATATTTATACCGAGCGTCAATTTAGAATGATCTTCGCTTTTGACTCCACTTAGATACAACTCGTCAGTTGTATCCAGAATAGGTGAACGCCTATGGTGTTAGTGAATAACCAAATCCCAGGCGAGTGGTTCGTATCCCACCGTGATATGTTATTTTTGCTTTATTAATACGACAGAAAGGAGCAAGGTGTAGGTTTGAAAACAAGACGTACGTTTATTTCAATACAGTTTTAGAAACATTAACCTCTGATAATTGAAGGATTTCCACTTCTGAAGCGCGACTAGATCTAAGAAGTTCATTAATCAAGACAGTGTAAACCTTTTAGATATATGTTAGACAATGTACACGCCCCGTGTGGAATCAACTAAATGTTACATTTTGAATTTCATTGAGATCCTGTCATAGTCCTAAAATTTATTTTTCTGGAACATCATTTTTTCAACACTGATACAAATTTCCCTGACATTTCCATGACATGTCTACAGTTTCAAAATTCCCGGACTCTTTGGCCCTTTTTGACCTTATTTTAAAATTCTCTGACATTTCAGGCACTTGGAAAATTAAATCAAAACCCTGACATTTCCAGGTGTGTACGAACGCTGGAATTATTCTTAAAATATCCTTCAAACAAAAGGGGAAAATGCTATGCACAAATACTCTAATTTAGTTTGTATTGTAATGCGTTGTATTACATTGCATTGCATTGTATTGTGTATTTATTTGAGTGTCCGTTGACGGTAAAGAAGGCATTTAAAAGTTATTTGTGAAACTTAATAAACTTAATAAACAATACTTTAACAGTATTCTGTTATGGCAAAGTATATTTCATTTTTTCTCTTGTTCTCTACAATCTGCGTTGAGGACACTGAAGCATATGTCTGTATTTTGTTGGTGGGGAACAGCGTATCCTATCGTTCACGGAGCAAATTCAACTCTCGTTCACGAGTACCTTGTTTTTGGGCTCTTGTCCCAAAGATAACGATTGTATAAGGTTGCATAATCAGGATTATGAGCTTTCATGTTCTCATAGTTACATCTGTTGTAAAACGAATCTTGTCGCAACCTCTGCGAATCACGACAGCATAACATTTGAATCACGTTGACATCATTGCAAAATTAGGCTAAATATGCTAAGTCAAGACGTTAATTAGCCCACGAAAGTTCATGGGTAACTTGAGAACTACAAAATACAACCAAATACTTTTCGAACGTACAATAGCAATATTTCTCACCTAACGTCTTCATAGTTTTAGGAACGTATTTTAAACGCATGATAGCCAAATATATCAAGATACTATATCTGCCTAAATGAAGTTATCTAGTGTTTACAAAGTTTTGAAATATATTATATCCAGATCCATCAAAAATTAACTTATCCATTTACATTACTTTACTAGTTCTAGTATCTTGCATGACTCGTTCATAAGAATTCTTTAATTCTACCTCGTTCCCAATACGTCCTCAGACAGACAAGAAATTGAAGTCACACCCGTTTGTTTGCGTGGCATATTTATACGTATACGCACTTTCTCTGATTATTGTCAAACAAATACATTTCAAGAGAAGAACATAAAAAACAAATGCCTGAAACGAATGCCGAAACATAAATCCCAAGTGATTAAGTATAGAATGTTTTATTCTTTTACGATTTGATAAGAGACCGAGACTAAGAAATTAAATGCGACGAAATATTTTGACAACGTAATTTGTATACTGTTTTATTCTTAAAGTTCTATGCGATAAATTATTTTATCTGTTTCAAAATGTTTCATTTTATTTTGCCTATATAAAAGAGATTGAAGAAGATAAGATAAACTGTTCCGTAATATATATTGTGTTTTAATAACCTTTTTTTAGAATCACAATGTAAAATAAATCTCCCGTTCCTGCCATTCTGGTAACGCCATGCAATGGATGCAATTCAAAGTGAGAGAGAGAGATCTATGAATAACAGAATGCGTCCATGCCATTAATTTGGCCAAATACATGGCATGAAACTGACGTAAGTTTAAGTAAGCTACGCCCCCCGCTTTCTCTGGTAAATTATGACTTTATTTTTCGGAGTAATGGGTTTCGGACAACTGGGTTTCGGAGAACTGGGGTGTACCCGATTACGCTTTGCACGCCGCTTTAAAATCCCGATGTCTCCAGAGGTAGTTTAATCCGGTAGCCGACAGGCGTTTCTTGCATTATTGAATACAAGCTAACCTTATATTCGCGAATGCAACTAACGCCTTCCGGCTACCTGATTAACCCAGTATAATATGACCAAGTCATTTAAATATGAATGGAATAGTGGCAGGTACTATTCGTATTGACATGAGTTTCCAGTAAAATAATAGGTTAATCCGGTAGCCGACAGGCGTTAGTTGCATTTGCGAATACAAGCTAAGACTATGATTTGGGAATGGAAGATTTCAGCTTCCGGATTAACCTACCATTCTATGGGCGACTCATTTAAATATGAAAAGAACCTGACAATATTCCATTGATATTTTAATGAATTGCCCATAAAATAGTAAAGTAGGTTTATCCGGTAGCCGACAGGCGTTAGCGGCATTCGCGAATACAAGCTCCTTTATTTCATAATTTGGGAAATATATATTTTCACAATATTGAAATAGATGGTGGTTCAAAGTGGAATACATATCATACAAGTGTCACAGATATTTTTAGTGCATATATGGTCTGTCTTGGCATGACTTTGTAGAACATATCAAAACCCTGGGATCCACAGGGTAACAGTAAGTACATTTCGTTAGATCTTCCGAAGTTCATGCTTCAAAGTTGTCAAAGTTGTAAAAGGGTAATCCTTTTTTGAGTACGAAAGCGTACTTTTTGTTCAATAGCCTTTCCCAGCTGCTAATCGTTTGAGTGCATCGTGCATTCAACGAATTGTATTCACTTATTAACCAATCAGTGCCAGGAACAAAATGCACGCTTACTTTTTGGGCTAAGTTTAGTGTTTTATGAAGCATGCTACATACAAATGTTACGCTTTTGCTCATTTACTTTGAGAACTATCTATAGGTACACATTACCAATTGACTCCTAGATTTGAGTGAACAAGTATCTCGTATTTTTCATTTTTCGATATTTTGAGATTTGTTGGCTGATGAGTAACTTGATATTTTATGTCTAAATATATTAAAGTGGTTAATAGTAATAGTTTTATTGTACACCATAAACTGTTAACGTTTTAGAATTGGGACACAATATATGATTTGATAATAGAACAATACATGTATATGTCTTACTCTAAACTCGGTGGTTTGTTTGTTAGTATGTTTTCTTAACAGCTCAATAACTGTTGTATTAATAAGGCGTTATACTATGAAAAAAAGATTGAACGATGTAGGCATAGGCAGAGGGAGTATCACACTACCCTACCACGTGAACACATTTAAAAAGAATACAGGGTACAGTTAAGTTGCAAATAGAGCGGGTATTCTTTGTCCTTTTCCATAGGACTTTTCTGGTGATAGTGCGTTGCAAACTGCTCGATGAATCTATACAATGTAAAATCTAGTATTCCTCCAGAACTATGGAAATAAACAAAGGTCCTCCATTTGCGACTTCACTGTAGCCTGTATTCCTTTTAAAGAAATACGGGCTACAGT